TACCTGGTGTGGTACTGTCAGGTGGCTCTTATTTAGTTCACCACTGGTTATATGCTCCTTTTGAAGCTAATGGGTTTTCTTCTCTTAATTTTCTGCTTTTCCTGACCTCCTGTGTTCTAGACCGATGTGGATATATTTTGTAATCAATCAGTCCCTGCCTGTTACAGTTTTTTTCTTTAATACTTGTTCAAACAGAAATTCAGATAAAGGTGTCCCATTTGTATGCAACAGGAAATGCCTGCCTCCTTTTCAGATATCCTTGCAAATACTCCATGCCGATTTCCTCAGCGCTGAATAGAAATGCTAAGTCAAACAAATATAAATGCTCCCTGGTCTTATTCAAGGATCCGATTCAGGGCTTTGTGGTATGTTCAGGTCCACCTTTGCCTTATGTGGGAGAAGGGACTGATCCACCTGCTCCTACTATGTTCCCGCAAAGCCTTCATTAATGAATCCTTGCCAAAGGCTCATATCAGGCATGGTCAACAGAAGTAGTGGAGCTCTTCTCTGATCGAACACAGCCAGATCCTTCCGATGTCTAGTCTTTGGGGCTAGGGGTCATCTTTCTCAACTTTGAGAAGTCGCAGGCGTGAACCTGTGTGTATCTTCTCATTGCAAAGAGCCACTTCCACATTTATCTCAGCTCTTACTTTATCCTGCTCAGAAGATGAGGGCATTAGAAACACTTCTGAAGTAGGCTCTCTAGATGCTTTTGCTTCCAGCCTACCTTTTTCATCCAGATTAATCAGCCATCCAGTTTATGATTAAGTCACTAGTGGCCACGTGCATGACTCCAAGTGCGGAGAACAGGATTTATGTGCTAGAGGGTTTATCAGTCAATAGTTGCTTTGGGAATGCATATTCTCAGGCACAGATTGCCTGAAGAAAGGGAGAATGGATAGTCTGTATGGATACATTTCTATTTGTTAGGGGTGGCTTTGGGTCTGGAGATCTGGATGCAGACCTGATCCCTGGAGGACTTTGTGTGAACTTTGAGTTGAAGACCACCCAGAAATGCTGATATGTGTAACAGGCTAGTGCATCCCCTTGACGCGAGATGCCATTGTGTGGCATTTCAGCTGCAAAAAGGCATGGTTTCATTGAGTGCGTGGCCCAGCGTGCTTTTGAAAGCAGCACACCTTTGCCTTGCTAGCAATCACAGCCAGCGGAAAGTGGTTTGGGTTGCGTTCAGCAGCCTCTGCCTCCCTCAGTCGTTAGGGCCTCCTACCTAATTGCACTTGGAGAGGAAGAGCGTGCTGAACTGCGAAGAAACATCCGAATGGAAGGAAGTCCTCCCCTCCTCCCAGCCATGTAGAGAAACCCTCTCGGTCTCAGAATGACCCCAGGTCCTGGAGTTATGGTGGTAGCTTTGGCACGTTGCTCTCCCGGCCTCATCAGGCACATCCCCAGCAAGAAGCCACGTGGATTCTTTCCTGCTGGCATGCAAGGTTGTGTCAAAAGTGCAAACACAGGTGTCCACCCTGGTCTTTTAGTAGCAATTAACCTTTTCTCCTGGGTTTCCTTTGAAGCTTGCTCATGTTTTTATTGTAAAATAACAGTGAAGAATTTTATGGAGGCTAATATCTAAGCTTCCACATTACCTAATCTCATCTGTTCCCTTATCAGGGGCCCCAATTTTTATTTCATCCTATTTCTAGTGGGGATAATTATTGGGCTTTAAAGAAGCCATCTTGAATTTCAAAACTGCAGTGCTATCTGTGCGAACGACTTGCAGTTCACTGGGAAAACGATGCTTATCAGCACAGTCCCTGTGTCTAATTCTAACCTTACAAAGATTTTCTATCAGTCAATATCCCACAGTTTTGCTGGAAGTCCCTCTGATCCATGTGGGTGTAAATTTTAAGGGAAATAGTCCCACACCCTTTGAAAATGAAGACCAGATCCTTGGTTCATGTACATTGATTTTAATATAGCTCCGTCTATCATTAATTTCACAAATATGTCTTAATGGCCTTCCTGTCTCTTGGTCAGTTGTAATTCAACTTCTTGTTTATTTTGAGGTTTTAAAATATATTTTTGCTAGAACACGTTGCTATTTCAGGCAGAATAATATTTCAGTAATCTGTTTTACCCACACTGTTAGGGCTTTGGGGCATATAGGCATATTATATTTTCCAGAGCTTTCAAACTGAAAGCCCGTGTTTAACGACGACATCGGGTGTGGCTGCTGGAAATCAAAGGAGGCACAATAGACCCAGCAAATGGACTTGTCTCCCTGCCAGGCTTCCAGAGGCCAATTTATCAGCTGCAGGTTTGACCCTATATGGCTAAAAACGAGTGTAGCCAGAATGACTGAGATAAGTATAACCGAGGCTTTTGAGTCTGTGAGAGAGAAATTAAACTGGACTGTCCCTGGGGGAGAAGAAACATCTGTAAAGCCGTGCTTGCTAAATGTTTAAGGTTCAGCTTGTGCTGGCTCACGGGCAGGCGCTGCTGGCGAGTGGGGCTGAGGAAGGTGGCCTTTTGGGGAAAGGCACAGAGCAGGCCATTGCTTGCTGACACTTAAACAATTTGGCTGAGCTGCTTTGTTGTTTGGTGGAGGAGAGGTGAGCATGGCCATGGGACACAGGGAGAGCCTTGGTTTTATGGGGCACTGCTTGGTGGGATGGGGACAATGGGACTGACTGTGTGAGATGGGCTTTTTAAGAAGTTTGAGTGTCAGGCACCCAGCTGTCATGGAAAATCAGTAGGATTTAGATGCCTGAAGTTTTTACCCCCCGCCCCCCTTCCAGTGAGCCATGTGCTTATCATCATCCAGATCACTTTCCTCATGTGATTTCTCTTCCTGCACCCTGTGTGTATACATGGGTTAGGGTTTTTTTCCTGTTTCAAAACCAGCTGAAGTCTTTTAGGCAGGACTGCAATCTAAACAGTTGGGGGAAGACATCTGAACCGGAGCGAGCCTGCCCTGGGTGGATGCAGCATCACTGCTGGCCCATGAAGTCAGGAAGCACATCGGAGTTTTGGGGATGCTCAGGAGGCACAGACCAGCCTCTCTCACCCGTCCTACCACGCTAGAGCAAAGCTGTGTTTGGGGGCAGCAGCAATGCCGCGGTGTAACAGAGGTGGCTGCTAAAGGGGTCATCTCAGTGCAGGGCAAGGTGAATGGTGGCATCCAGGTGGAGCTGTGTCTCTACCCTTTTCACGTCTTCTTTCCTGTCCTTTGGAGTCCAGGTTGAGTTTTGCTGTGGGTGGGAAAGTACGGGCATGGGCTCATAGGTGCTAGGCACAGAGTACGCTCTCTGCACCAGCGCTTTCAGGAACCCTTGAGCATCTTTGCCAAACTCGGCACCACTGAGCTGTGACCGGCAGGATTTCTGAAACATAAGTGATGGAAAATCCCTCTGTGTGTCCTTCTCGGCTAAATGGTAGAGTCAGTCAAGATTTTCTACTCGGAGTGCCAGGTATTAGAAAAGTGACAAACTAATCAATATTGGGTTCAATCGTTATAAAGTGCAGGGAGTCTGCCAAACCAGAGGCCGAGGCAATGGGTAGCTGAACTTTCTTGTGACATGTATGAGGTCATAGCCAGTGCCACATAAAAGAAAGAAAAACAGTTCATGGCTGTGAATAAATTGCTCACAGATGAAGAATCCAGTTTGCCAGTCATGTGATGGGAGCAATCTATTCAAATGATTTGTTATGTCCCAGTGTTTGTCTTAGGCAGTACCAGAAGCATGAAAGTACAGATATAAAACTGTGAGATAATATGTAACAAAGATGTGAGAGATAATGGGCTATGACCAGTTTCCAGTGGAAAAGGCATACGGTGCTAATCTACCATGGATAGTTTCTTAAATGAGCAAGAAATTGAAAGAACATTTTAAAGTTTCCTGTTTCTTCACTGAAACTGAGTCATTCTGAATGCCAAGCGCAGCGTAACACTTTAATTTCTGGGCCAACCATATTATGCAAATATCCTCATGCTCAGATGTTGAATACCCGATCCCTCAACTTAATTCCTTGGAGAATAGTATTCTCGCCTCCTATTTAGGTTAGAATTAAGTGGAATGTGTTCTGGTGTGTAGGAAAAGTACAGTAACACTAATAAAGTTAAATGAATGTAAATAATTAAGAAGTTTTTTGGTTAGTTTGTCTTTTTGCTCCTTTTGCATGTATTATTGGGTTGAGTACTGTATTGCTGGTGCAGCTAAAGCCCCTGCTGAAGTCACTCAGTTTTTTGAGTAAAAGGAATTTACAATCAGCCTTACATTTTGAGCTGTCAAAAAAAGTGAGTTTTTCTTTTTTTTTTTTTTATTCTTCTTGTTTGCTGGCTAAGTCCCAAAGATGAAGTTGGTTTTTTTTTTTTAAATGTGTTTTGGATCTGCCCCAGGTTTTTTTGCAACTGTAAGAGGAGAAGGTTCATGTTCTCTATAAGGTGCTGTTTGGATCCTGAACTTATTTTAGACCATTGAGTTTCTTGGAGGTCAACGGTAAGACACTGATTTACATCAGCTGAAGTTCTTGCCAGGAGTTGTGTGGTAGGCTGGATCCTTTCCTCCAAAGACTAATTGGAGGCCATCAAACTTAATTTTGGCTACTTTAGGTTCAGTCTGTCTCTCTGAAAGACCAGTAAAGCTTTCCTGCTTTTCACTTCACTTAGATTTCAGTTGTAACGTATAATGCTGGCTTTCAATTGTAATTTCGAAGAGTATGCAATGCAAAGCGCTATATCCGGACCAGATTGGACAATAGGGTGTGCCTGCATATACATCTGTATGTAATTCCCTCGCTTGTGTTCAATGATGTAAACCACTTTTGATGTCAGGAATATTAAGAAACACTGTGTACCCCCAGGCCTGCAGTAGGGAAAAGGCTCAGCTCCTTCCAGGGTGAGGCCCTGCTGCAGGACTAGTGATGGATGAAGGTGCCGCCTGCCTACCAAACTGTCCTCTCCGTTTCATGTGCAGGCTGAAAGGGTTTCATATGCAAAATCTGTCAGAATATTTCAAATCCTACTGTTTGGCTTTATTTTCCAGGTGATGAATGTTTGTACGAAAGCTTTCCCGAACTTCCTTTGGAGGAAGTGCCAGAAGCTGATGGAGAGGCTGCAAACGTCCAGTGTCCAACATCCGTCGGCATTCAAGAGCCATCTTCTCCAGCAACCTCCAGTGAAGCTTTCACACCAAAGGAGAGCTCCCCTTACAAGGCTCCGATATACATTCCCGATGACATTCCCATTCCTTCAGAGTTTGAGCTCAGAGAATCCAATGTTCCTGGAGCAGGATTAGGGATATGGACCAAAAGGAAGATTGAAGCAGGGGAAAAATTTGGCCCTTTTGTAGGAGACCAGCGGCCACACCTTAAAGATCCCAGTTACGGTTGGGAGGTAAGACACTGTACATTATTTCGGTCTGTCGAACTCTCTTGCATGTCTATAAACACAGAAGTATTTGCAGAATTTGAGTCCTATCCTGCAGCAGCCAGGGGATATTTGTGTACAGGAAGACTGCTTTGTGGCCTTTTGGGGCTTTCTGGATGGAAACAAGTGTAAATTAAAAAAGAAAAAAGGCAGGAATTATCGTTGCTCTTCATGCCTGAAATCTGTCTGGGTGGATATTGGCAGGTGATGCCTCTTTTGGGGAAAGAGAGGAAGAAGTTGCCTTGTTTGGAATGTTTCTGTATCATTTTTAGTCTGCTCTTGGGCAGTCCTGCAGTACACCTGTGGGCGAGGCATTTGCAAACGACACTGTGCTATCTGTTTGAAAAGAAACTGGGTGCTGCTTTCAGGGTTGTGACTCACCACTTTCTGTTGACAATGATTAGAATAGCCCTAAAATCCAGTATTGTGTGGCTAAAATTGCTATTGCAGAACATTGTGCTACTCGGGGACTTTGAAAGCTGGGGCGTTGATCCTACTTCCATTTAATTTAATGGGAATTTTGCCATTCATTTGGTGAATGATGGATCATTTGGATGCTGGTGTCAAACCTAGCACACATGGGGACGATGTGGCTCATGTTACTTCTGCGGATGCTCTGAGAAATGTTGCTTTTCCTGAAGGAGCTCTAAGGCCTCCTTTGCAAGTTGCTTCTTGCTTTTTGTGCCTTTGGGGGCAAGGTGTTTTCCTCGCTGTGATATCACCGTGGACCTGGCTGAGCTGCGGGTCCATGGTCAGGTCAGGGCTTTAGACCTCAAGTGGTGCATGTTGCCAGTTGTGTTATGGCGTAACAAAAGTTCTTGCGTGGTTTTATTCATCGTTTTAACAATGTGCTGTAGAAACAGAGTGCAATCTCAGCTTTCCATCTGTACGTTTCCTTTGGTTTCTGATAAGGGGAGAAGTGCAGAGTTTGCACGGCTCTCCAGGGCCACGACTGACCTCTGGAGAGACGGGAGGTTCATTTTCCCAGGAAAAATGCAGTTTCACTGTGGAGCAGAGCCTTGCAGATATGGTGGAAAATAGAGGTTTGATTTGCTCTTAACTGTCCATACTCAGTGAGTTCATTCCAAACTTTCCATGTAGTTGTTTAAACTCTTGTGAGACCTGTGACGATATGACAGAATAGTGTCAGGAGAAATTATAGACTTGGCAGCACTCTATTGAGTTAACAGACCCTGTTGCAATATAATTGCTGGTGAGAAATCTTTATTATTTGAAAAGGCACCAGGAAACCATAAAATCTGACCTTTAACCACACCACAATTAAGCTCAGATATTGATAACAGAAACTGGAGCAAAACTGCTGATACATGGCTGTACTTGCAGGTTTAACATATTCCAAAATTAGGGTATTTTAGACTGGATCCTCAGGTGGCATAGTGCAGGATAGCCCCATTAAAACTGAGGAAAAAAGCATCTTGATTTTCACAACCTTAGATGCTCATAATATGCTGCAATATTAGAGACTAGTTTTCCTGCTTAAAATATTTAAGGTTTTGGGGTCTGCAAAATCCAGACAAAAAATGCATGTCTTGATAGTGCTGGAAGCCTAGCTGGCAGATTGAATCTCTTTCAAGCTGCAGGACTCGTGCCATTTGAACAGTGTTATGTATTTGGGACAGCTGGGGAGAAGCTATTGAAAACTCTTGGAGCAAAATCACACAAAATCAACGGTCGAGTCCCTCTGCAATTTGACCACTCATCTAGAAGTACTCTGTGGTGCTCAGGGGAGCTTGAAACAGATTATTCTTCCAACAAATGGGTTAAGGACATTTATTGTAATTGAAGGGAGACAAAGAAATGCTGGTTACCAGAGTTTACACAATGAGTAAAATGGCACATAGTGAAGGTTGAGGCTAAAGGACAGATGTGGGGTGACATGGTAGTGCTGGAGAAGAACTTACCAGTGCCCATCCCAGCCCAGATGCTCATCATCGCGCTGCTCTGGAAGCCACCACTTTCTTGGACCTGTGCCTTGGGATAAAAAAGGGAGAAAGAAGCTGTTACTGGTGTGTGGGCTCACGCAGTGTCAAAGGAAGCATGGGATGGTGAGGGAAGGGTATCATATGCTGAGGTTTAAGTACAGTCTTGGGAATTTAAGCTTTTTTGGTGTCAGTGGGGTTGTAACATTGCTAATGCTTGGGTACTTATTTAATTCTCTTGAACAGACTCCCCTGTGACTACAGAGAGGGTGGTTAAGTTATTGGAAAAACCAATCTTTGCATTTTTCCGAGTTTAAGGTGAAACACTGTACAATGGTGCTTGACTTTCAAAGATGATGGAAGAATCTCTTGTCAAGAAAAAAATTAGCATAAACATACTAAAATATTTTTGGAAGGAAAATGCAACATCTTCCTCAGCAGTTTTCTGATGTTACATATATTACTGATTTTGCTATGAAAGATTTGCTTCTTTTTTGCAATTGTTTAGGATTGCTAGGTAGCCTAGAGTCTTAAACTAGAAATTTTCAAACAAAAACCCTACATGCATGTTGCAGGGAAGAGTTTATAACTACACACAAATTTGGATTGTAACTCCATTTTTGGAAAGGATGTTTTCGTTCCCTTGCAAAAGGTTGTAATAGTTTTTGGGTATTTCCAGCTGTGGGATACTTCTGACTTCCAGTTTTTGTGACTGATGTCCATCTGAGTTGATACTAGGATTAGCCTGTAGTGGTCGGGAGAGAAGTGGAAGTTGGAGGAAATGCTGCTGTTAAATTTTGCAGCCAGGCAGTTGATGATAAAGAAAAACTTGCTGTAGAAGACTGAGGAATTTCATGGGGCCTGTTCCTACATTCCCCTATAGCAGGACTCCCTATGGCATCGATGCAGAGTTTTGTCAGAGCAAGTCCGAGAAAACAATGTCTATTGTGTCCATTTATATACTTCAGCCATAAAACACACTCTGGGACAAAGAGAATTTGTTGTGATATAGTTGTGCTTGGGTCATGATTAGAGTGCTGTAGACCAGTTTAAATGAAAAGCCATAAATTTGAATTTTATCTCATTTTGTAGGTCTAGAGCCCAGCATTATCTAATCAGGTATTGGTTAGCTAAAGTACAAATCGAACAGGGGGTCACCGGACAAGGGGAAAGGTCGAGCTTTTTTGCAGTTTGTCACCGAGGTTTTAGTATTTGCCGGCAGCCCGAATATCCGAGGGGGTCGGGAGGCTGTTGCTCAGTGGTTGTTTGAAAAGGGAAAATTGACTGCTTCTTAATCAACAAAGAAAACAAGCTTTTAAGGGATGGCAGTAATTTTTTTTAAACAAAAGCAAGGGAACAGAAATTTAGTGATTTCATCATGGTTCATGCCCTGCTATGAAAAACAACTGGGAAAGTATTTCAAAGAAAGCCTTTGAACAGGTCACCAAAGCACATGCACCTATCTTCAACCAGCATCTTCTGGAATACATCGAATATTCAAATTCAAGTCTTTTACTGCTATAGCAAACTCAAAGTATCATTCATAGGGACAATTTCTTCACAGGTCTTTTTATCTTAAACTTTTATTTCTTTACTAGGAAGGCAAAACCAGGAGCAATAAACTCTAATAAATCAAACTTGTCACAGAAGTAAAAAATATTTTAGAGCTTTATAAAGCAGCATATAATCTGTTTATAGAGCAGAGTATATTTTCCTGTCATGACAGTGAAGCTGAAAAACATCTCAGATTTGGTAGAGTATGCTTGAGCTGATGCTATTACTTCTAAATGGAAATTAGGAGGCCATTTGGCTATTTGTTTACTTCTCCTCTCACATTCTTGATGTGAGTCTTTGGGGAAGTCTCCACAGCTTCCTAAAAATTGTTCTGGAGTACAGGCTTCCCACTGGTCTAGAGGGACTGGAACAGTTGCAATTTTAACTTTCACTTCCGCACTCTTTGGCTTTCTTTTGGCATTTTTAAAATGTAAATTTAGGTTTATTTGAGATTCTGGGTTCTAGGTGTACCATCTGTCTTTTATGAAAATTAAATAATAGGTTACAAAATGTAAAGGTATAGGCTTTTGGAGTTGGAATGTAATGTATATGCTCCCAAACTCAGATTGTAGCACCTAAACCGATAGCTTGGTTTTCTTGCTCTTCGCATCGAAAGACTTCCACTGTAATCAACGGGAGTTACTTACCAGCTGATTCCTCTCTGTGTATAGATGTTATATCCTACCCCCTTAATTTTCTGCTGTTGTCTGACACTTTCACGCTGCACTGACTTTTACAGACCAAATCTTGCCTTTCCTTGAATTGTTTTTAAGAGCATTAACATTCAAAGCAACTCCAGCACTCAACCAGGTTGTCGGAAAACGGGGAAGTATAATGCAGATTCCTTGCCTACATTTTCTCCTTGTGTATGGATTTCAGCAGTATAGGGATACCAGGAAGCTTTGCAAAATTATTATTGAAGCAAAAGCAGGAATAAGAATGTGGGTTATTCTGTTATTTGGAATTAAAAAAGAATAACTTGTTTTATTGTTGGGGGGTGTGGATGCTTTTTGATCAATACAAGACCAACCTAGTTTTGCAGATAGCGTATTCCCCCCCCAGGTCAACAGACCATCCACTTCTGGCAGCTGCAGGTGGGGGTGACATCCTTACCTTTTCTTCAGTACATGGGTGATGTTTTATCCCATTTGGAGCTCAGCTTTGCAAGGCATAGAGCACTCTGGCTGAGCTCCAGCAAAGCACTTAGGCATGGCCTTATCATCAACGGGATTACCCAGGTGTTTGAGTTAAGCATGTGCTTAGCTGTTGTGTTAAGCTCTCTGTTAGGGACATAGTGTTCAGTGCCACATAGGATGGAGTTCATACCGTATATCTTGCCTGGGGTGAGTATGCACGAGAGTGCTTAAGACAGCCCCTTGGAAGTTGTGTACAAAACCGACATTACTTATGGTGCTGCTAGTGTTACCAGCCTGAATTCTTCTGTTGTTTGCATCTGTGTCTTGTGGTGAGGCTGTGACTAAGTCAGATGCTACCACAGCTATAGGAGTCCTGTAGCAAGGCAGACAGATGCTTCAGGAGCAAAGTGTAGCTCTCAGAGGTGATGTCAGTTGTATACCCCAACCAGCTACCTGGCTGTTAACACCAGCTTTCTCCCTGCTCCGATGACAGACAGTTTATAATTACAAATGAGCAAACATCAGGTCCTTGAATAGCAAGATAGGAGCAGGCGGACTTGTTGTTCAGTTTGAATTAAATATATTAACAGCAAAGGGGAGCTGTTGGTCCTTTGGGTTGTTTCCTGTTACGGAAGAGTGTTAGGACGTGGGGACAACACAGAGTAGTCTGCTGTTGTCTTTCTCTACTGTTCCTTATTTCCACTCTTCAATTGT